TGGCCATGTCAAATTTGGCGCTACTCCCCTCGTCGGGGAGGAGTACAGAAGTCGAATTAAAGAGACCTCTATGTCGAACTAAATAGCATCACAGTGTGGACGGATGCAGGGTTAATTCGATGTAACGGCGCTAACTTCGACATAAACGCCTAGTGTAGACCAGGCCATAGCTATCAAGGCCAGACAGGCTCATTGTGCCCATCCAGCCTGGCTTCCTGCCTATCTCAGCCAGAGACTCTCCACCAGCGATTTCTGCCTCTGGCCCAGTAACTGCTGGCGGAACAAGAGCGAAGCTTTGAGAGAGAATTGCCGCATCTCCACCGACAGTTCCTAGCCAGTGAATCTCGCTCTGCCTTTACCGTCTACATCAAGGAGCGCTCCGCTAGCAGGTGTGTAAATCAGAAGGAACTGGATTATTATGACTCACCTGAGGAGGGGCTCTCAGGCCCAGAGTTTACCCTGGAGCCCTCAGCATCCTGGATCCAGAGTTCTGCCTCCCCTAGCTCGATCCGGTGGATTAAGTCTGGTTTGGAACCTGAAGAGCCTGTTTGGGAGGGAAAGTTTTATTACTAAAATGTTTGGGGGCAGAGACTTGTTTATATGTTTGCGCAGCACCTGGCACGACAGGACAACAAGCTCGCAGGCTGCTTTAGAGTAAAGCGCAAGAGATCTCAAGCAGGAGAGTAATGAAATAAACCTTCCTCAGAGAAGATTTCGTCCGGTCTCTCACTTGTACTCTGAATCAGCAACGTCTACAACCCCTGTCTCACGTTGCAGTGGGGGCCGAGTTTAAAGCCTTGCTGGGCTAACTCTAGCTGTTCCATAGAAATATCCCATTCTGCAAACACCTTGGCCGCTATGCTATCCTGTGTCACTATGTTCCATAGGACAACTGTGTGACATGGATTTCCTTTAACCCACAGAAACACCAGTGAACACCCATTCGTCTCAGATTAAGAGACAGGGTGAATTATTTCACTTACCCAACTGTCTCCTGAAACATTTCTCATGGGGAAGACTTTGGAAGACGGGAACGTTGCTCCTTTGCCATCTTATAGCTGTTGAAACGTTTCAGGCATGTCATTAAAGCATATCGGCCACAACGTGTCATGGCAGGTGTCACCAGGTGGCGCCATTACACAGACATTCCAGTTCTTTTGCACTGTTCAGCTGAACAGTTGTTAAATGTACTATGTTCGTTCTTTTGGGGGAGGTGGAGAGCTGTTGCAGCAGCAGCGTTTTTTCCCTGCCTTATTTGTCTAACTAGAATCAGGTCCTGAGGCAGAGTTGCTGCCCTCAACGTCTGGCTGGGATTCCTGGAAGAGATTGGTGCTCATGGGCTGTTTGCTACCACCACCGATGTGCCCTGACTGAGGTAGGTAATGCAAATAAACAAGTGACACTAAGCTTATCCCCAGGCTCTGTAGCCCTGAGTTCTCCTCCAACAGGGGCTGACCTGAAAGGGGCTGGCATGTGCCACCACTCAGTGATAGGGTGGCACATGGTAACCAAAGCCTCGAGGGTTGGTTTTACAGATGTGAATAAATGAAGGGAACTCAGTCCTTACCCAGGGAAACGAGAGTCCAGTAATTCCTCAGCATCTGGTCCCGGTACAGCTGTTTCTCTGGCTGGGATAAGAGCTCCCACTCCTCCCGGGTGAAATACAGAGCGACGTCCTCAAACGCCACCTGGAGCTGCTGGCACAAGCGTTACACACTCAGCACCTTCTGCTCCAGCCCCCAGCCCGGAGTCTCAGCAGGGGACACGGTTTCTAGGGGAGCGACTCCCAGGGACCCCCCGGCCCAGCAGCTGTGACCCAGGGAGACTCCCCCCACCCCGCACAGCTCCCCGGGGACTCGGGGCCCTGCTGGCCGGGGACAGGAGTCGCCCTCGGCTCCCCACGGGGCTCCGGGGCGGGGCCCGAATCCCAGGGCCGGGAACAGGCTCCTCCCCCCCGGCCGGAGTCCCGCCCCCGCCCCAGGCCTGTGCTCAGCGCCACTCCCGCCCCGGCTCAGGCGCCTCCGGGCTCCTCTGCCCGGCCGGGGCCTCGCTCGGGGGAAGGGGCCGCGCCCGGCTCCGTGTGTCCGCCCGGCCAGGGCCCCCCCGCCCCGGGGCCCCAGAGCCGCTCCCTGGCCCCAGCGCTCCGGCTGCTGCAGCCCCCAGCCCCGGGGTCACTAGCGCGGGAGGGACCCGGGTCCCGGCCCCCCTCGGCCCCCAGCCGGGACCAGCCAGTGCCCGGCCGGGGAGTCCCCGCCCCGCGTCCTACCTGCGCCGGCCCCACTGCAGCCATCGCCGGGCTCGGCCCCGGCCGCTTCCTCCAGCTGGGCAGCGACTTCCCGCCCCGCGGCTGGTGCTTGTATCAGCACAAAGTGCTCTCGCTCCCGTTTT